GTCCGGAGCCAATCATCAGCATCTAAAGGCTCTTCTGCCTTAGAGAACACAGGTGAACGTGTTAGTAAAATCAATATAGGTTGTCTCATCATTTTCATTATTACGGCGGCCATGATTATGGTGTGGTGCTTGTTGGTTCTAAGCCATTTCCCTTAACAACCTAGCATTCTCTGCCGTTGCATAGACGAGTGCAGTTATGGCATCTGCCATAGTCGGAGGCATTGGTGGAGGATTTGGGACTTCATCATTGTCTTGCGAAGTACTTGCACCAGTTCGGGTGTTAATACGAGGCATCTGTCAGAGAGACACGTTTATTTACCTTATTATTTTATTGAAAGCAGTTAAAATGTTTTATACTACAAAGGGTTTCTTATTTATGTTACATGTCTTGTATCCCACAAGACAACACTGGTTTACTAGAAAAGCAGTAAAGAAACTATTTCTACTCCAAGCTATCAGTCATCGGCGTCCGTGTCCATATCGGACTCAACCTCATCTTCATCGGAAAAGTACACTAACTCCTCAGGATCCTCCTTCTCTTCTTTATTCTCGACTTCTCCTGGATCTACAATTATTTCTTCATCTGTAACTTCACCATCCCCATGAGGATGAAGTTGAGCGTACATCATGTGGACATTCTCGTGAAGAATGGTGTTGTCCATCTCCAGGTCTTCTACGTAGAACTCCAACTTATGGATGCATTCATTGGCCGCATCCTCTCGTGTTCAGGCTTCATTCCGCAACTCGGTATTCTTGGTGATGTCCCTTTCTATTTCCGTCAGCTTCTCTTGATCTTTGGCATGAGCTCGACGAAGAGTGTTGAGCTCCTTGGTAAGGTTCTCGATGTTGGCGGGATTGCTTGAAGATCCTTCATCTCCTAGGGTCTTGAAACTTCCTTCACCAAGCTCACGGTTACGCGGTGCCAACTGGTGACGAGGGACTCCGTGAGGTCCAGTGGAGCCATAGCCTGTAGAAGTTAGGGTAGTACTATAAGGATAGCTTGAGGATAATGGAGGTTAGTAAGAATGGGATTAACATTACTTACCCAACCACTTTTAAGGAGAATTATTATGCAAGGTGTTCAAGCATGATGCATGAATCGATCTTACGAATCCGAGTATAAAAGATTTATACAATCAAAAGTACTAGATTTTTAATACATAGGACAAACCTAATCATATTATCCACGACAAACTTTCAATAAGATAGAATTGAGGATAGATCAGAGGGAAGAAGAAAGAAATTTGAACTCAAAATATCCAGTTTAATTTCTTTGATCCAAATCTGTTTGAATGTTTTCAAAAGTAACCTACAATGATCTTTAGATAGGACCTGCTCTGATACTACCGTGGCAGAACCTCCTAAAAAATCGGACCCACGTGCACCTATCGATGTCTCAACAGACCTCTGATAGCGTACACAAGTTCCCAACACTTAACAGGTCTGTCGGGTGTCCTCAGGAAACCCGAATCATCCACGAATCTTTTCCAAACAGGATCTCAATCACAGACATTGCAGATTACAACAGTTTTCAATATACATACCAGAGATTATAAAGCGAAAGACTTATGTTTTCATATTAGAAACCAGTTGCTTCAAACTTACAAAACCATAAGTGTCATACAACTATAGTAGCGGGATAATATTACATTAACATTATTTATTTCACACAAACTAGTGCCTTATCTAAAGGCCATTCATCATTCCTCATCGTCATCAACTTCAAACACTGACATGCAGCAGGAACCAAAACAAGCCTGCGTATGCGGCTCACCTGCAACAAGGGTTAACAAACCCTGAGTACAAAAATACTCAACAAGACTGACCCGACAAAAAAGGGGTGAAGGACTTTAGAGATGCAGGTGTTGGGTCAAGTTAAGGATGTAGCAAGATTCAAAAGTTCTTTGCTAAAAGCTTACTATTTTTATCATATTTTCGAGTTTTACCGCTAAATACTTTAGTTCATTATCTCAAACTAAGTGTTCATATCTCATATTCCAATCCTTCTCATTCCATTCTTTTTCTCATGTTTTAGTAATTCACCAGTCCTGTATTACTTCTGTAATGAATCGAGTCTCTATATCCGCGGAACACTGGCAATTCGAATTGATTCAAGTCCCAGCTGGGGATTCCTTATCACACGACATATGTAGAACTTAATCTTGCATATATCAACCTCACTACCGGATCCTCCCACACTAAGCCGTCTCCACGCCACCCGAGAGCACAGCACGCCTCAAATCCGACCACATTCAAGACACGAGGGTACACGCTACTCCCGCCATCTCACCACTCCTAGTGCGTGGGCTTTCGTCTTAGTATCGAATTAGCCGAAGTAGGCTTACCGGAGTATGTGACCAGTACTACAAAGTGTCTCGTTCAGAAGATCCACAATGAGTGACCTTTAAGCGACATAGTCGGCAACATTACCCAACATTCAAGATAAGCCACCCAACTAGTCTCTAGTTCATTCTATCTTCTTTCTTTCTTTCTTTGGCCAGTATGCCATCTTTGATTGTATCGAAACTTTTACTTTGAAAACCTACCATAAAGCATACTAAGCAATTCTACGCCTTTGTAAATGAAATCATCTTCAAGGATGGTAAACAATTAACAAGGTAGGCAATGCATCAAGTAGGTAACATTTGAATAAATCAACTTAATGCAATAAGTAACATAGGTGATAAACTTTTCAAAGTAAACAAAGTAATGGTTTAATGCATAAACCGGGGCTTGCCTTCGTTGACGATCTCGGGTTCCGGATCAGTACCACAATTATCGAATCCCGTGACAACCGGAGATTCTTCCACAACTTGCTCAACTAGAACCGTTTCACTCTCGGATTCTACACGAAATAATAACATATGCTTCAATATGATGATAATGTAAACATGATGCTTACATGGTACATGAAATGTAATAACACCTTGAATACAACTTTCCTTCGCGATACAGTTGTAAATCAACATAACTAAATGACACTAACATCTAGGGTTTATGACCTAAGCGACTTGACCAAATTGATCTTGAAACCCTACTGGTCACAAAACATGACCCAAACAAGATCAAACCCTATCCCTAACACTTAGGGTTTGCTTTTATTCATTTTTGAATTAATTTGGAAATAAGCCCAAAAATAAACTTGTTCTAAATGACCTCAAAATTTTATGTAAACTTCCTCATAACAAATTAGTGTACCAAAATAAATTTCATAATTTTTGGAGCTATACAGTGACCTACAAAAATTATGGAAATTGCATTTATCAATTAATTGACTGAATTTTTTAACATAAAAAAATTTATTCAAATTTCAAGTTTCAAATTTTTAAACCATAATAGAACATGTATGAAGCTACACACAAATTTTGTAATTTTTGAGTCAGTAATTAATTTCCTATAAATTTTCAAAGTTACTACACTATTCAAAATCTAGAAATAACAAAATTCCACTATTCTCTCTTTCATTTGACAGTGAGCCCAGCTTTCGTCATGGTGACACAGACAAACTGAGAACAGTAAGGGCGCCGCCATCATCGGTCGGCCAAAACGCAGCCGATGGCGGCGATGTTCGTGAGGCGAGACCGCACCTACATGATCTACAACGTCCCACGAATCTTTCCCATCCCTCAAAACGGCAGCAGGCGCACCGGAGGGAGCTCCATGCCGGCCATGGCGGCGCGAGCACGACGGCGCACGGCACAATCCCGACCACAGTGCGGTAGAGGCTAAAGTAGAGCGAGCATCACGCTCAGGAGCTCACCACGATCACGCTAGTGTGCTTGGTGAAGACGGAGACGGGCTGGAACGTCCTGGCCACGGCGACGTCGATGGTGGCGGAGCTCCGACCGGTCTCGGGAGAACGCGTTGCGCCGGCGATTCCGACCAACACCAACGACGCGAGCAAGTCGAAGAGGAGCGCAAGGTCGAGGCGATCGCGTTGGTGTAGCTGGGCACGACGGACGCGATTTGATTTGGCGGTACTTCTGAGCGGCGGAGGCTGTGTTCGGTATGAAGCAGAGCATGGGGAAAGCGGAGATCGATTTGGCGGTGGTGTTCCTATTTATAGCCGGAAGAAACGCGCGGCGTCGACAACTCACGACGAGCTCGCCACGAAGCTTGCTACGTGTCACCATCTGAAAGCGGTAGCAAAATGATCGGCAATGGACATGGTGTGTCGCCACGACAACAAGCAGGAGGTGGCGCTTCATTTGGTTTTGATTTTTGAAGTATTTCTGAGAATTGCCGCTGTGTTAATTTTGCAAATTACTCACAAATTTTCTAAAGAAGTTGAAAATCTCCAAAATGAAAGTTGCTTAACTTTTCAAACTCTACAACTTTGTTTCAAGGAATATTTTCAAATTCTGCCTTCATTTTAAAATTTGAATTTGGGGTGCATTTGAGTATTTGAATCATTTCAAAATTAATACCAAAGTTGATCCTTATAAAATATGCTTCAACTTTGCTTTTTGTCACAACCCCAAATTCCAAATGGATTTTGAAATAGACAAAAGGGGCAAAAAAGACTTTTATAATTGGAATTTGAATTCAAATTTGATTTGTTTACCTTTTGACTTAACTTTGATTTTTAACCAGTAACATGGCCCATTAGGGTTATTTGAGTCAATTAACACATGGTCTCACATGATCACATGAATTTTGACCCTTGTGGTCATGATTTTCATTCAGAGTTTTGAATCACATTGTATCACATAAAATAACAACTTATGAAATAAAGCTTATTTAGTGAATGCATTCAAATTTTTCTACTTTATGAATGATTTGCAATGCATATGATGACATGTCAAATTTTAATGATAGGTCAAAACACCAGAGGTGTTACACTGCGAAGAGCCATGATCATAATACATGAGTCATGACAACAGAATGTAAAATTGCCAAATGAACAGGACAATGCATGACAAACAAGTAGGTCTGGTAAAAAAATGGTTATGCATGAATACTTAACATAATCCTGGCAAGAGATGGCTACTAAAACTTACTTCATGTCAACTTTTTGAGGTTGGATACCACGTGCACGGAGATCTGCATCTTTGTTATCAAAGAAACCTTCAGGCAACAATCCTTTTGCTTGAGCAGTTTCTAAACTCGGTTCATTGGGTTGCATGCCACTGCCAGTTTTGTTGTGATCAAAGAAGCCATCAGGGACACCTTTCACCTTTGTGTGAATGGGACTGGCAACATTTTGAGATGTACTAAGATCTTTTGGAACTGGAGTTGGAGCTTCATCTTCTTCTCCATAGTCAAAAAAATTCCCTGGAAGGATTCCTTTGACACTGGTATTGCTTTGACTCCCTTTCTTTGGCATTTGATCCATCCTAACAGATGATTTATCAGTGCTTGCTCCTATGGTTTTGGTTGAATAACAGCAACTTCACGGCGCATAGACCTTCCCTCAGAACCAGTATCTAGAAATCAAAGATGTTATATCAACACATTGATGTTCACAAAACTGTTGAGTTTACTAAGGGCCCTAACAAATAGCCATTTACAGGAAGAAAGCGTAGAAAGCTATACAGGAAACACATCTGCATTAGATATTTGACATAACAAATGTACAGAAAAAACAGAATAACTAACATTATACTTAGACATTGTAGGTAAAGATTCTAAACAACTTCATGGTGTATTAAAATCCTACACCATGTTTCATTTAACAGTTAACACAGTGGCAGACTGATAGGTTTAATGATTTGTCAGGTACAGCTAGGAAGAACAATAGGACATTACAGTTTATTGGGAGTTGTAGATTTAAATAAGAGAACATGAAAATGACAATTTAATACAGATGGTTCATTTGAAAATACAATTGAAATAGACTAGAATGCACAACTCTACGGAAATGAAGGGCGGGCCTAGTGCAAGCGGTAGAGTCTTACCGCTTGTGACCGGAAGGTCTCGGATTTGAGTCGCGGTCTCCTCGCATTGCACAAGCGAGGGTAAGACTTGCCACTGACACCCTTCCCCAGAACCCGCACAAAGCGGGAGCTCTCTGCACTGGGTACGCACAACTCTTCAGAAATATGGTATCCGAGAGCAATGCCGTGGGGGCAATCTTTTCCCCTGCAACCCGAGTTTTTTTTAACATGGTATCTGAGCAAGTGTACATAGAGGTGACAAAAAAATAATGGAAGGCAAACACTGGACAAGTGGCAGAACAAAAGGAGGAATCAAATGTAAACTCAAAAGCAAAATAACAAATGTTTATTTCCATGATAATGATAATCTATCAGACATTCATAACAGCAGCATGACATGTAAAATAATATACGCAAATGCCTCTAGAGCAATACTACAGACCCAGTTGATTTTACACTATCTGGAGCAAGGGAGGTCATTAGGTATTCTCACCATCACTTTGCCTTTTAGTTCCCTGATTATCAAAAAAATTGGTAGGTAGTGTGGAAGATTTTTGTTTCTCAGACTCCAATGGTTGCTCTTGCTTGGCAATGTTGCCTCTAGATCCTGCACCTGTTGCAGCCTTAGCAGCGGCGGCTTTTGCCTGTAATCAGAATACAAGCTCAGTTCAGAAGTAATAAAAAAAAGGCACCTTCAACTTCAAGAGCAAATACACTTTGAATGCAGTATATCAACGTGATTTCATAAACAATAAGCCTATTCTTGGAGCAATTAAGTATACTTAACTAATTATGTCAACATAAAAATCATGTGCATGCAGTTCTGGTCAAATGTACGCTGATAATAAACAGAAACTAAATTTGAAAATTGTCGCGGGGCGGGGAGGCGGGGGATATAATGGTTTACAAAAAATGCTAGAAGTGTTTCGGATCCAACAAACAAAAATAATCATAACAACAACAAAAAAGGGCAAACCCAGTGTCGGAGGCACCCACATGAGTGGGGTCTGGGGAAGGGAAAAACCGAGGCAAGCCTCCCCCGCAAAATCTGCGGAGAGGCTGCTTCGAACCCGTGACCTGGTGACTCAGTGAGACAGCTCTCACCACTGCACCAGGCCTGCATCAAATATGTATTTATCTAACACTGTTCAGTTTCATATGGAACAAGCAAAACAAGCAACGAAAACAACCATGTATGGTTTTGTTACATAGTTCTTTGCCAAATCTTTTTTAAAAATGAAGTAATGGAGAAGACTTAGTTTTATGGGAATATGGTGTTTCTACACCTACTACAAGGTGCAATTGTGATTTTACTCTGTGATTTTGCCCTCAAGATTTTGAATTGAAGCAGCTGTTTGCCCCTGGTTTGTGACGGTGTTAGTGTTGGTGGATTAAATGACGAAAAACATAAAAACAAAATATGCCCACACACGAAAAGACAAAACTACCCTCACCTTCACATTCCCCACACCGTACCTCCCTACCCTTTCACTTTCCCCAAATCAAGAGTCAAACCCTAGCTGCGGCCGCCAGGCGGTGGGCGTACGTACAGCAACGTGGTGGCAGTCGGAGGCCGGCAGGGCGCGTGCGGTTTGCAGTTTGGCTGCGCAGGTGCAGGCGGCCGGCGGCGTGGGCCTGGGCGACTGCGGTCTGCTGCGTGGGCGTGTCCGGCGGCGTGACGAAATCAAAGGTGATGCGGCGTGAGTGATGCGGTGAGCGCAGAGAACGGAGGAGTAGATGGGACTGGGAATTGGAACGCATTGCAGCTTGGCTGCGTAGGTGCAGGCGGCGTGGGCCTGGGCGACTGCGGTCTGCTGTGTGGGCGTGTCCGGCGGCGTCACAAAATCGAAGGTGATGCGGCGTGAGCGATGCGGTGAGCACAGAGAACGAAGGAGTAGATGGGACTGGGAATTGGAAGGCAGAGGGTAGCGAGGAACCTCGGCGGTGGGAACTTCTCCAGTGTCGGCGGCTGAAACGCCCGCCGCCACCGTCGAAGGGTAAAACCCCACCCCGATACCCAGGGAGGTTTACTCCTTCGATAGAGATTACAATCTCCTAGGGTGCCCTTTATAATATAGGTGCACTGCCAACAATAATAAAATCAATCTATAAAAATCCTCCCTTTCCAAAACAGCCGAGCCTAGCCACGGCTTGGGCTGGGGGCTTGTTTGGGGCGACGCCTGTACTGGCGGCCCACAAACGAGTCCACAACACTTCCCTCCTCCCCGACAAACAGCTCGTCCGTGAGCTGAAACACAGGATAGCGATCCTTGAAGTCTTCCACAGCTTCCCAAGTGGCATCAGCAGGTGTGCAGCCCGCCCAATGAACAAGGAGCTGCCAGTGGTCGCAGCTTGAGATTGAAGAAACACGGACCACAAGAAAGCCGTGTCGGAACCACCCGGCCATGGAGGAGCGAAGGCAGTGGAACCAAGGTAGACAGCAGCTCCCCCACAAACTTGTTCAAGAGAGCAACATGGAAAACATCGTGAATGCGCGCCTTGGGGGGAAGGCGCAAGCGGTAGGCCACCGCCCCAATACGCTCAATCACTTGATATGGTCCGAAGAAATGAGGCCCGAGCTTGGATGGCAAAGCAGTAGTGATGCCAACAGCCGTGCGGTGGTGGAGACACAGCAACACCCAATCACCCACAGCATACTCGACTAGGCGGCGTTTCTTATCTTGATGCTCCTTCATCACATCCTAGAACAAACACAGCCAATCCCGGATCTCAGCCAAGAATTCATCACGGTCACGAAGCTGCCGATCCACCGCAGCCACCCGGGCCGAACCAGGAAGGTAACACGCCAAAGGTGGCGGCGGTCTGCCATAGACCACCTCAAAAGGAGTGGCACAGAGAGCAGATTGGAAGGAAGTATTGTGGCGAACTACGCCCATGGTAACCATGGAGCCAAGAACGCATGACCGATCACCGACCAAGCGGCGCAAGTACATCACGATGATGCGGTCGGTCACCTCCGATCGCCGATCGATCATGGATGAAATGCGAAGCTCGCGCAACAACCGGACATTGGCCAACTTAAAAGATCTTCCCAAAAATTTTTGGTGAACACCGTGTCGCGGTCACTAACAATGGAGCAGGAATCCCATGGAGGCGCATAATATTGTCGAAGAAGGCACGGCTACCGAACTTCATTGAATATGGATGACTCAAGGCGATGAAATGAGCCATCTTGAAAACCGATCCACCACAAGTGAGGACCACCGACTTCCCGCCAACTCGCAGAAATCCTTCAACGAAATTCATGGCGATGTCGCTCCACACATGTTCAGAGCGGGCAAAGGCTACAAACAACCCAACCGGATGTAAATTCTCAGATTGTTCCATTGACAAAAGCAGCCACGATACCCGGACGTAGATCACGGACCAAGCGATGTGCATGAGTATTGAAGAAGGACGCCGAAATCGGTGAAGAGTCTTCTGCGCCCCCTCATCATGGTCGCCATGTGCCTCTGCGCAGCAGAACACGGCCACAACACCGAGGCGTCGGAACAAAAAGCGCGCCCGGTACATCGGCATGTCATCTAGCAATGCCCGACCATCGTGTCTTTGCTCTAGGCGCTATCTGTGCTTTCGCAGCCTTCGGGCACGTGGATCATGCAAGTGCTCGATCCATGAGATCATCGTAGAGGGCAAATGTTGGAGCGAAGCTGCTTGAAAATGAAGGTATATCGTCGAGTCGCGCGCGGACAAAGCATCAGCCACAGTATTCAACTTCCCCGCACGGTATTTGACCGTGAGATCATAACCAAAGAGCTTAGTCACCCATGTGTGCTGCGGAATCGTCATGAGGCGCTGATCATGTACTTGAAACTCCAATGATCTGTGCGGACCGTGAAAGCACGACCCCATAAATATGGCCACCAGTGACGTACAGCTTTCACCAAGCCGATGAGCTCCCTCTCAAAAGCTGGTGATGAGCTGCCACTGCTCGACTGAAGAAAGCCACGGCGCCATCTCCCTGATGAAGTACTGTGCCAAATCCAGCTCCTGAAGCATCACAATCGACAATGAAACGCTTACTGAAGTCGGGTAGCTGCAGCAACGGAGCAGACACAAGCGGCGCCTTGAGCTTCAGGAAGGCCGCCTCTGCCTCATCGGTCCAGGAGAAGGCCTCCCGCTTGAGGAGGGCTGCAAGTGGCGCGGCCACACCACCCTATCCGGCGATGAACTTGCGGTAGTAGCCGGTAAGGCCCAGAAAACCGCGAAGGGCCCGCGACGAACGGGGACGCGACTAGGCCTCCACCGCAGCCACCTTGTCGCTATCCATGGAGACCCCATCAGCCGATACGATATGGCCAAGGTACGCGCAACCGACGGCTCACTGAAGAAACACTTGGAGCGCTTGGCGAAGAGGTGGTGATCACGGAGTTGCTACAGCACAATTCGTACATGTTGTAAATGTTCAGCCCACGTGGGATTGAATATTAGTATATCA